TTATTATTATTATTATTATATGCTCTGAACTCAACACGTAGACCCAGAAGTCAACACATACATACACCCTGAACGAACATATACACACACTGAATTCAACAAATGTAAACACCGAACCCAATACACATACCCCGAACCCAACACATACACCCTGAAATGATCAACATATATGCTCTGAACTCAACACGTAGACCCAGAAGTCAACACATAGATCCCGTTCCTTTTTTCTAATTAAAATCAAGTTAAAAATCAACTTTCTTATTAATAATTCCCGGAAACTGTCAAGTAACAGTCGTGCTAGTTTAATTACTGTTTCTCTTCTCTTATCTTTTTCTATATCTTCAATTTATATATTAGTGGGTAATATCGGCATATCGGCAAAATGAACGTAATTCTGTTATTTGTAATTGTTTCTTTTTCTCCATGTAATATTTGCAGGGCATACCTCGGATATGTTCTTGTTCTCCTTGTATTACCCACAATGCACCTTCTGCGGCGTTTCTCACTTCTTGGCTGTCATGTGACTTTAGTTTTTCAAGGGTACTGATAGCATTTGGTTCTTTCTTGATCTTTTCCTTGTTATCGTCATCAAATGCTAAAGTCCAAACACAACGTGTGGCCCAATATGTTTCTTTGTCGTCTCCTTCTTTCATCAATTTCACCAGCAGCTTCAGTCCTTTCTGTTTTACGATAATTTGTTTGTTTTTGTCGTGATTAACAAGACTAGACATTCCCTGTACCAGTTCCTGTAAAACAAGAAAATTAAAATAAATGAAATTTCTAGTTTCTGTTCTGCATTCACGCAATAAGATCACGTGCTCAAGTGACGTGGGCTTGTTTAATATTTATATCTATTTTGTAGTCAAATAAGTCTGACCAGCGTTAGACAGAAATCGCATTGTGAAATGACAGGCACGTATGTATGAAACATATTCGTTGGTTTTGTTAAATGTAAAATTGTCATTCTGAACATCAAAATCGGGACTGCACCACAGAGTCAAATCGGGAGTAGTAAGCCGATGACCGTCATGGATATGACTTTTGGCGGACATTGGTAAAAGGTCTATTTGACGCCCGGGTTACATTAAACTGAATAGCAACATGTACACTGCAGCCACGCCGTACACGATGACAAGAATGTAGCCAGCGCCATCGTCAGATATAAAAGAAGCCACATATGTCTAGTCTTTTAGTATCTCAGTGTAATAATACCAATGCTACTCTTCCTTGTGAAAATAGTTTATAATATTTCTATATACATCTATAGACGTCTACAGACTTTCTATACTTTTTGTAGACTTATATGTTTTGTATACTTTTGATAGAAATTTTTCTTTAGACGTTGTGAAAACTCTTGCAGATATTATCTAGATATTTATTTGTTATTGTTAAGGTCATTTTTTTCATTTTATTCTACATATAAATGTGAAAACTTACTCTCTTGACTTAATGACAGAATACAGTATTTTTTTTATCCAAATGTTTATCCAAAAGTTTGATTTCGTCAGTGATTATTTATACTTACTAGGAGTTATTGTGAACATATTATGTAATGGTAGTTGTGACATAAAGTGTCAAGTGAAGTCTTTTTATGCAAGAGCCAACTACTGGTGCCCTGTTCCGGCCAGATTGACTCTATTCAAATAGTTTTGTACAGCGATGTATTTATGGGCTGTATTTTCCATGGTAAATATGATTACGCTTTTCGTGTTATATATTAAAATACGATTTTATAGAAATTATACAAACTATTTCCATAGAAAGCCTATAAATT